TCTTGGCAAAGGCACCAATCGACTCATCGTTGCTATCGCCAACCACTTGGCGCACGAAGCTTTTTGCCGGGAAAATTTTGACGACGAGAGGGCCTTAGTTCGCCTGAAAGCTTTTCATACTAACAGGATTCGGAGACGGTTTACCTTCGAGCTAGCTCGTTTTCTGTCGATGCGAACTCGCGATGTGTTCAAACGTCATGGACTACTGATCGACCAACTTCCACCAGGGCCAATCGGTTGGGATCTCTGCGACAACGATAGTAGTGAGGGTAATTCTTTTGGGAGTGACGAAGACGAAGGAAAGGGAAAGGGAAGAAAAGAAGACGAAGACGGCGATGGAGCAGGAAAACATGGAAGAGTGGAAGAGAGCAAAGGGTTTGAGCGAGATGACCTTCCTCACAACAAGAAACGTAGGGCTAGGGAAGAACTGCCCAGAGATTCTTCTTGTCAAAATGAGGATCAGAATGATGGTAGCGAGAACCATGAGGATACTGGTGAAAGTATTCCTAAACGAAGTCGAGTACTAGGTATTAGCCTTGGTAGACGGGTGCAGTTTTCTTCTGTTGCTGCTGTTTCTGTTTTTGATCCGAAGGATAGCTTAGCCTCCCCCATGCTGCCCCCTCACGGGGTCCCAGTTCATGGTCGATACAAGTGTTTTGTGTTTTCAACCGCACTAAGACTGACGTCTTTTCATTGGTCAGCCGGTTAGCGCGGTCGATGCTAATAATAAAAGCACACACAGACAGCTCGATCGACTCGTCGTCCCTCTCTGTTCGTGTGCGCAGGACCGACCGGCGACAAGGAAGGGAGGCGAAGGGCCAAATCACCAGCACTTGACTTGCTCTCCATCCGAGGACAATACGACACCAAACACATCGCACCCAACCCAATTGTACTACGATAAGTTCACAAGAAAAACAAGGCGGGCTGGGGGGCTACCCCCGGACTCTTTCAGCCCCGAACAAAAAAATGCGATAGAGAACACATTGCACTGGTGTTGTGTCCGACAAACCCCTGGCTCCAACGTCAGCAGTACCTACGAAGCCCCGTTCGATGGGGCAGCAACGCCAGCTAGCTGTGCTTCAGGCTACGTCAACCCCGTCAGCTCGCGCTGGGCATATCCGCGGGATGATTAGCAACAGAGGCAGTAGGCATGGGACGCCTGCCAAAGTTTTCCTTCGCTCTAAGATAAGGGAATGATCGACGCGGCAATAAAAAAAGAGAGTCACATCACGCAACCGACTGCTTTTTTTGAGCCGACAGCACGAAGGGAGTAGACACCACGCGTTCGAACACTCGGTTCGCGCTGTGAACGCTCGTCGTGCCCCCGGCGAAGATACAACCGACTGACTGTGTGTACTCCTCGAGGGGGAATCGCGTAAAGTTGTTGTTGTCGTCTTCACATTAAATACCGTTCCGATCTCTGTGCCCAGTACCTTCATCTGACTGTCTGTACATGTCTCTACCACTCACGCCGTCGATTCCTGTGGTCACCGTTTAGCTTACCCTTCAAAAGGTTTACCGTGTATGACACAAGATAACACACCCCCTTGACCAATTTTCGAAGCTCGATTTCTCAACTGCAGGAACAGTCACAGCGCCGAAAACGGCGGCGTTGAAACCGTCTCGTCAAGAGCTTTTCGAAAATGTATCGTTTCGTTTGTGCATCCTCTTCGTCGTGGAGTAATAGAGCTTTGAAAATCGGTCCAGGGGGTCTGTTATATTGAGTCATATACGGTACTCAATGAGACAAAAACAAAAAATCATGATCAAAAACAGTGTTGTTACCCTTCACCCGACCCGCTTCAAAACATGGACGATCTCAAACCGACCCGTGGCCACGTAAATGAGAACCCCCCCCCCCCCCCCCCCCCCCCCCCCCCCCCCCCCCCCCCCCCCCCCCCCCCCCC